ATGGTCCATTTGTACGTCGTCGGCTCGTGTAATCTGTGATCTGGGTTGTCGTGCTGGAAGTGAACATTGGTCTGCTATAACTGAATAGTTTCAAGATGGGTCTTCAGCTTTCACAGCTGAGTAATACAGACTGTCGTTCCCACGTCTAATAGCTCCCAGGACACTCCGCACATGCACAGCATCACTCTTTTTCCCGTGAAGGATGGGCTTTGACACGGCCGACCCAGTGAACGCGGCGGGGCATGTTTCAGTAAAGTATTCACGTCTCGTCCCCAGTAGCAAGGTTTATCGAGCTACGCATGCATACGCTGCTGGAAAGAATGAACACTGAGAGCTATGTCTGCCTTGTGATGTATATCGCGTTGCCTCAACGTGGGGGGGTACCCACCTATTTTCAAGCCTTGCCACTGACTTAAATCCATGAGGAACGGTTAAGTGAGAAACAGCAGCACCGGTTGGTAGTTGACGAGTAGTTTGCTAGGGATATTTCTCCTTACGCTTCCGTAGCAAGTCCAACACCAGTGCCACTAGGCGCCCAGACCTGTGTTCCTCTTCGATGGAGGAATAACCATTCTTGAACTCTGAACCAACGCTGGACAGTCACTCGACTGGGAAGGTTGTCCTTGTAAACCTCCAGCAGGAGTAGATACGATTCACAAGGTTAGAGGCTAGATGGGTGCAGGAGCAGCACGACATGGCGGAAGTGGTGTTCGGATGACTTATCAGAAGACACTTTCTAATTTATAGCAAGTACTTTTTGCAGCGCTTTTCCTCTTCTATCGACTGACTACTCAATTGCAGCGATCAATCGACAAACAGGTCAAAAAATCGAAATCAAAATCGAACAGCTGCAATGTATCATTACGTTCTTTCCAACCGTCAATTTGGGAAATTTTCTACCACAAGAAGGTTCAGCAAAGGGTATCGTAACCAACCTCCATTGCCTTCACACGAGAGTCATATTCAGCTGGAAGCTTCTCCAGGATAAGGTATGAATCCTGCAAGTATCAGTGGCACTGAAGACTGGAGAATGTTTACTCTATGATACTTACTTTATTTACTCCAACGAGATCTCCAGGCTTCAGCTCAGAAGGCTCGACCAATCCGACAACAGGGAGAAAGTATGTAGCTCTTGTTGATGTTTTTATAACAGCACACTTTGTTTTATGAGCGTCCAAGTCAACGTTCGCACCTAAATAGTGAATACAAAACATTCCCATCCATTAAAGAAACAGAGTGGTATTCATATAACATCTCATTTTTTCAGGCAAGACTAGTAAAGATATCAAAAAAGGAACCTTCTTCCTCTTGATTGTCTTCCAAGTCTAATAGCTCAACAACGTTTGAAACAAGATAAGGAAGTGTTTTGTTAACCTGAACAATTGCATTATTAGCAAAGAAATTGTGACGGACGATCTAGAAAATCCACCTTAATTCTTTCATTGTTGTCCTTTATACGTTCTTTCAGCATCGAAACAGAATGGTTGATTCGTTGAACTTCACTCCTCATAATTCGAATTTCGTTATCCAAAAGATGGTTCGGCTCTTCAGGTCTTCTGGGGCCATACGAAGAATCTCTTCGTCCAAGGCCTGCTAACGTGCGAGATGGTCAAAAAGTAATTGTTTGTTGATAATCTTGTACCAGGATTTCCTATCAAACGGTATCGAAAGGAGAAAGCTAGAAAAAATTCACAAGCATACATGAAACGCAGAGGATGGCGTATGGACCAGAATGCGCTAGAAAAGTTAGATAGGTTTGAATCTGTAGAATCGGTGAATCGCTGATTGCTCGATTCTTCCACCAGTAAGGCCGCGTTCATACATAGCGCCTCCACTGCCTCCGTGGCCTCTACGTATACTATACGTAATACTTTGGAGTATGGTGCTGTCCCGGAGTCTCATTACTCATCTGAATGTGTATTAACAATGTGAAACTCCAAAAGTTTATTCCAAAAAACTCAAAAGACAGCAAAAGTCTCAAAAGTTTTTTAAAATATATCTTATCTGGCTATATTTCGGTGCGTAGCACCTTCTTCAGGCCTGAAATTATTTAGCTTGTTTTATGCAGAATATGAGCCTACAGAGAAGTAACCCGCACGGACTCCCCCATACGAGGCACTTACCGAAATATCCTGGCAAATTAGCCAGACCCCACCCTAACCCCCCTTAAATAGTGGATTGTGACGCGATCAACATTGATGCTTGATAATGTCACGTAGTTCCTCCCTATTGTTTATTTGGGGTGTTAGCCGTTTTATTTCCAAGGCCTCCAATATTTTCCTTTCCATTGCGCTCTCTACCGAGCGGTGTAGTACTTTGACCATTAAAGAGGGGGGTTCCTGGTGAGCGTGCTCCATTATGCGATGCCGGGAGAAACTGCTATTAGGGTAAGAAGGTGGATTTCCCAGCGCCCTCCGGTGTTCGTCGATCCGTTTGTATAGGGGCCTCCCAGTTTCTCCCACATATTTTTGCCCGCATCCTTGACATTCTACCAGATAAACTGTCCCCCTGAGTTGACAGATTTTAGAATCCCTGCAGTAACTACAACCTGCCCTTCCACATTTATCTTCATAAGGCCTGGAAAATGTAAGGAGGCGTTTTAAATTTGGTGGAGGACGAAATATTAGGCGTATAGGAAGTGGTGAGCACTTTACAATATTATTTATTTTTAATGCCGTGCTTTCATTGAGGTAAGGTAATACCAAGGGAATTCCGTCCGCCGTGGAATGCGGTTTCCATGTATGGGTGCGGGTGCTTGTATACCCATTCTCTCTTAGAATTCTATCCACCATCGAGTCTACTTCTGATGACTGCTGGGTGCATATTTTGTCCTTAGTGATCACCATATTCCGGACAACATTGGCTTTCATGTACAGGGGGTGACCACTTCTAGCATGCAGCAACACGTTCTTCGAAGCTGGCTTTCTATACCAGGATAACTCCGTGGTACCATTTCTGATCCGAACCTTGGTGTTCAAGAATGGGACAAATCCTTCATTGTTGGGGTTCTCCACAGTGAACCTAAATAATACTTATGTTTAGGGTCCTGCGAATTAATTTGACCATTAAAGAGGGGGGTTTGCGCTCACCAGGAACCCCCCTCTTTAATGGTCAAAGTACTACACCGCTCGGTAGAGAGCGCAATGGAAAGGAAAATATTGGAGGCCTTGGAAATAAAACGGCTAACACCCCAAATAAACAATAGGGAGGAACTACGTGACATTATGCAAGTCATAATGTGATCGCGTCACATCCCACTATTTAAGGGTGTGGTTAGGGTGGGTTGGCTAATTTGCCAGGATATTTCGGTAAGTGCCTCGTATGGGGGGAGTCCGTGCGGGTTACATCTCTGTAGGCTCATATTCTGCATAAAACAAGCTAAATAATTTCAGGCCTGAAGAAGGTGCTACGCACCGAAATATAGCCAGATAAGATATATTTTAAAAAACTTTTGAGACTTTTGCTGTCTTTTGAGTTTTTTGGAATAAACTTTTGGAGTTTCACATTGTTAATACACATTCAGATACTTTGCCGTAGTTCTAAAAATTCCGGGGAGGTCAGGGGCGCTGCGTATGAACGCGGCCTAAGTGTAGATTCCTTTTCGGGGTTTTTCCCATTCTGCGACTATTCTCCAGTTTCGCAAAGTGAGCGCGGCATCAACAGACATCTATGTCAGACCAATTCATACGGAATCACCGTCTTTCTCGGGGAAACTTTGCTCTATTTGCGGGTAGAGTTTAGACAATAGCTGCTTTCTAACTTGCAATATAACGTCAAACTGAACAGAATGAATGATGAGGGATGTAAAATCGTACCTCCTCTACTTCCATCTTCTCGGGTGCTCCTCCCGTATCACCCTTTGCAGCAGCCTTCGGTGTTTCAGACATTGCGGCCTGAAAATCATAAATTGCACATTGAATACAAGTTCAGTCGTGGGACGCCCAGCTGAAAACCGAAAATGTCGACTGGTAAAACAACTGTTAAAAAGGCCGTGTTTGCAACATGTTTTCGCCCACTTAGTAGCGTTAGGGAGAAAAACAGCAGTATACTGGACTGTCTTCAAGGAGAGCAAGTCGGATACACTCTGGACGGGTAGAAAGGAATCTGAGGCAAGGAAATTCAAGGTGTTCAGATTTTTAGCGACCGACGGCGATGACAATTTCTGTGCGGTGCAATTACACTTGGCGGGGACTACCGTAACCATCGTGTTTTTCTTTGGGTTCTCCAAGGCACTAATTCCAACCCTCCTGTTTTCCATTGCAGCATTTGACACATACACGATTATTTTCCAATGAAGTTGTGATCCATACTAGTGGTCAGTTATTAATATGACTACGCAGACGAAATGGAGCTTCACAGCGATTTCCAGCCGTGAATTAAAAAGGAAAACCGATGCAACGTGATCTAGTAGTTTGTTGATTTAGATGAAATTACGTGAACACTGTCTTTCAGAAATGCATGTAACTCGCCTTTGTCGGTTTTCCTTGGCGAGCGTCAGGCATGGTATGCGAGCTTGGGTTGCACAGTCGCCCACCGATCCAGTAGAACTAAAGACTATTCCATTACCTATATTTACGAAGCCGGACCAGGTTCTTATCAAAGTTAAGGTGAGAATGGCTTGCTCTTTCGCTTGATAGGCTATCACTCACCAAACTCGCGTTCGGACGTGTCAGTAGCTCTGTGATCTGGAGGAGCTCCGTTTGTTTTTGTGGGAAGTTTTTTTTGAGAAACTTCCTCACCTTCGGCTCTGGGGCTCCCGCAAGGGTCATGCATCATCAGGCGGGCTTCATCATGTTAGAGATACCTATTATTGAGCTCTTGGCAGCGAAACTGACAGCAGGTCAGATACCTTCGGAGGAGACTGATATATACTGGCACGGGGCTTTTCTAGGCGCTGCTGCAAAACAGATACGCGATCCAATCGGGCCGTCGTACATTGAGGATTCTCAGCTACGGTGAAACGCTGCGGTTCTTAACTTTCCCGGTTTCTCCCGTTGGGTTATACAGGCAATACCCACGATAGCAGGTCTTAAAAAAACGGAAAAAGTGGTAGAATAACTTAAGGAGGTAAGTAGAGTGGTAGGTAAAATGGGGAAGGGGGGTGTACCAAAGGAGAACTTTCGAGGAGGTGCTATCTTGTAACATTTTCACCCAATAGAGGAAGTGCTCTGAATCCGCTACACTACCTCTTAGGAGATGGCTGTGATTCGCGTGTGGATTTCGTTTACTCTCACGATTCAGGCAGCCAGTGTGAATCCGATCGACACTTTAGTGGTTAAAGGATATGGCAGAGAAATTCTGGGAACATGGAAACGTTTGGATGCTATGGATCTCGCGGCGAGTCGATTTCCTCTGACTCCTGGAAGGGACTGCGCCGGCATCGTGGAATCTGTTGGCCCTGCAGTAACAGGGCTAAAGCCTGGTGACGAGGTTAGCACTCCTTGGCTTTCTCACTTGTACTTTTATGTCATCAGCTTTGAATGGGCACTGGGCGATATGTGCAAAAATCTTAACGATGTGATTGTCCCCCACCTTTCCCATCATTTCTTCAGAAGGAAAGCATCAGAGAATTTCAACTTATCGGTAATTCTGAGCTATGCCCTTCTCATTCTTTTTTGTATTCGCTCATTCCTTCACGGTTATCCCATTCTCCGATACGATGGGTACCCAACCATTTTGACGTTTCTACTACGCAGTGACCAATGTGAACAGCACCCAACATTATCACAACAATGATGAGTTTGGAAGAAAGTCTTGACCCCTGTCTGACTTCAACCCCCAACTCACCCTTTCCGGTGAGTGCGCTTATCCGCTACACCACCAAAGCCGCTCTTACCCTCTCAGCATGGCGACTTTTGTGCCGAAGCCCTAAAGGCCATGAAGCCTTAAAGACAATTACGCGATCAAATTTACGGGTGGTTGTTCAGTTATGAACCAGTAGCCGATAAGTGACTCCAAAGTTGAGAACAAAGCAAAAACCTCGAGAACCCTTAATAAAACCCTTCTCTGGGAGTCACACAGCCTCTTTGTACGACTTCTCTGGAGTTATTAAATTAATTATTGTTGGTGATCCAACAAACTGTGGCCTCTGGCTCGCAAATCGTTTCTTCGCACCTTGCAGTACTGAATACCAGAAAAAAATTTCATGCAAAGTGTTTTCGAAAGCTATTTTCTGTTTAGTAAAATGACCTCATTGCACATCTTCCCGTCGAGTTCAATAAAGCAAACCAAATTTTTCTGTACAGGTGATGGCTGTGGTTCCAGCGATCTGGGCAGGCTCTCATGCGGAATATGTTGTGTCACAGGAAGCGTGTTGCTCACGTAAACCATCGAATCTGAATTTCTCTGAGGCAGCTGCCATGCCTTATGTTGCCAATACTGCCTGGGCAGCTCTTGTTTCCGTCGCCAGGATGAACCCGCGTTCAAAACCATGTTCGTTGGTGTATACTTTATACTGTTTGCAAAAAGGAATAGTGTAAGGTCAGTTCTCGTTATAGCTGAACGGGTATTAATTCATGGTGGAAGTGGTGGACTGGGCACGATGGCCATCCAAATGTTGAAAGCTTGGGGTACTGACAAAGTAGTTGTCACATGTTCAAAGGATAGGTAAGCAATTTACCTGTCTAGGTTTCTCTTTTTTTTCTTTCCTTTTCTTTCTTTTTCTCAGGCCGCGTGCATACTTTGCGCCGATTCAGGAAACAAGGCGAGTTGAGAGATTGCGCGGCGAGGAGAGACTACAACTACGACTGCGTACTTCTGGCGACTGCGGAAGATTGTGCGATTCGACGATATGATAAACACGGCAATCTAGCGTTATGGAGGAAATCGCTTTCGGCGGAGTTTCTCGAACTGCCTTATCGCTTCAGTCTCCCGAATTAGCCTACGATCGGTCGTAAATCTCCGCGAGTCGTTTGGGCGACCGGCGACGCAGGTCGTTATCCGATACCATCACTTCCTTGCGCGCACAATCGCTAGCAGCGCCGAGTCGTTCAGATCGCTGGATCGGCCAATCTCCACAATTGCCATATCGATTCCTATATGCACCTCGTCGCGCAATCTCTCACATCGCCGTGTTTCTCGAATCACCAGCTCTGTTTATTCGCAAGTATGAACGATCTAATTGGTAATTTCAGTGCTGATTTGGTGCGAAAACTTGGTGGAATTCCCGTTGACTATCGCGCAGACGATGTTCGAGATCGTCTTATTGAAGAAGGGCCTTATGAAGTGGTCTTCGACTGCGCGGATACAGATTTAGCTAGATGGAGCGATAAGGTAATACATTCATGCGGGCATCGAACTGTTCTAAGGCTGGCGTTTATACTTCGGTAGCGTAGGCGCAGCGCAGCGTAGCGCTTCCAGCGTACGCCAGCGGCAGTGCCGAAGAGAGGATGCATATTGATCTAGCTTCACCAGCGTTTCTCGAGCGTTTGCTCAGCGTCCCCAGCACCACGTTTTACTAGAAAAGCTTGCCAGCGGCAGGGAGTAGAGACTATGTGGCCGTGAGAGACGCGGAATCGACGTGTATTGTAGAGACTATGTGGCCGTCGGAGACGCAGAAGCGATGTGTATTGTAGAGACTAAGGGCGAGTGAGAGACGCGCAATCGATGTGTATAGTAGAGACTATGTGGCCGTCGGAGACGCAGAAGCGATGTGTATTGTAGAGACTAAGGGAGTGAGTGAGAGACGCGCAATCGATGTGTTTTGTACCCTCCAGCTCTCCCATAGTCTCTACTCCCCTGCCGCTGCAAACGCTAGCAAAACGCTGGAGAAACGCTGGCGTACGCTAGCGTGACGCTGGTGACGCTGGGAACGCTAGATCGATATGCATCCTCTCCCCGGCACTGCCGCTGGCGTACGCTGGAAGCGCTACGCTACGCTGCCGCAAAGTATAAACGCAGCCTAACAATTAGTAGTGAGGCGTCCACTGCTGGGAACCGTAGACACGGTTTAGAATAGGGGGCACAGGGCATCTCGTTTAGCTGGATATCCCCAACAAGGGAGGGGTCGTGATGTGCGGCCTTAATTTTTTGCATGGCTTGAGTTTTTTCCTTGTTTCAGGACGTTGTAAGGGTGGGTCGGGGACTAGCTCGCTTTGCTGGAGGAGAGAGCGGTCGTATTTCCTTTTCTGGGAGATGGTTGCTGACACTTCGCTGTTATTCTGCTTTTTCATGCCTACTTATAATACTCTTCCCCTGGCCCCTCCCCCCGCCCCACCCCCTCCCCTCCCGCTCGACAGCAAAACTTTCGGGAAAACTAGGAAAATTTGTGGGAATTCCAGAAAAAGTGGTAGGAAGTAGGAGAAAATCTAAGAAATGGTAGAGAGGGTTTCTACTTTTCATATGTGCTACTTACGTCCCGCCCCCCATCTTGACAGCTGGATGAGCAGGGAACCAGGGTGGGTCGTAGCAACCCCTAAAAAAAGAGGGAGGTCGTACGGACTCGACAAAAACCCCACCTAATGATGTGCCCTGGGAGGGCAGGTGGTATCTGAGTTCCACTGAAGAAAGAAAAGGAAGGGAAAGGAATGGAAACGTCCCAACTAAGACCCTGACTTTAGTTTCAAGCATTGCATAAATAAGGCGGAGAGGCACTAAGCGTGCAGACTAGAAACAGACAAAAAATGACGAAGACGAACGGCCTGCATCCACATAATATTGCGAAAATGAAAGGGGCGGAAATGGTATATGCAGGTGGAGACGACTTTCATGGGGGCCTCTGGCGGAACTTCTAAGGCGCGAAGTCCGCTAATGAAGAATGGGCTACGTCGTGCAAGGTGAGATTCTTCACATTAGCACAATTTCCTCAGGATAATATCGAGTAAAGTCGATTGGATGATTCAAAGGTATTGTACGAAATATGACTTTTGAACGTTTCCTTTCAGATTATGAGTGTTTGGAAAAACAGCGTTCATGTTTCTGTGGTCAGCCCATTACTGAGAGAAACCGATCGGCATGGTATTCTACAGGGTCTAGGAACAACTGCTGTGAAATACTTTTGTAGAAGTTATGAGGTATGCGCGATCAAAATATTCTGTTTCAGTTTTGCTCGGAAAGCACTTGTTTTAACTTGAACGCTGAACTTGTGTCATTCTTTCCCATACTTTCCATATCACATAATATTCTCCATTCGACTTCTTTTACTTGTTTCAGAGTGCTCTACGTGGACGATGGTTCTCCTATGCGTTCTTTGCGCCTAACCAAGAGTGTATGCAGCAGCTGTCAAGATTTGCTGAAGAGGGAAAGGTGGCCGTTTACTCTGTGAACTCTAAAATGAAAATGAATCGAAAAATGAAGAAAAGAATGAAACATAGCTTCGAGTGAAAACATTTCAATTAAGATTGTGCCGGTAGTGGAACGTGTGCAACCGTTCAGTGAGCTACCAGCAGCGTACGAAAGAGTATCCACCCTGCATAATCACGGTAAGACCGTCCTGACTTGGTAGGATTGTGTTGTACAATTTGTGAGGGAGTTCTTAGCCTGTTTCTAATCACTGATTGTACCAATCTGTTTATACATTATTCGAAATTGACATTTTCTACGAGGTGAATGTTATCACATCGTCTGCACAGATTCATTGCATTCAATTTCTGGATTTAGATCTCAGTAATAATTGCCTTAACTATCCGACCATAGAATTACCTCATATAGTCTGTTCGTACGTGACCGCGGGGAGGACTGTTCCATACCCTCATCTTTCACTAGCGATTTTTTTTCTTCTGTTCCAGATTCTGTATTTTGATATACCGGTTGAGATTGAAGTCCTAATAAATGTGCAAAAATGCTTGATCATGTAGGCACTTTGTGAAGGTGAAAGGCAGATGCTTCGATAGTGTCAGAACAGGGAAGATTGCAGAGACGCGGCAAAAGAAGCAATCGGAGGACAAAAGATGCAAGGCTGCCAACGCCCAAGGCCGCGTGCATAACTTGCGAAAATGGAGAATCGTAGAGTCGAATGCGATTCAGTTCCGCGATCTGTTTCCAGACTCGCTGGATATCAACGCGGTATGAGGAATTTGTGAAAAAAAATCCGCAATGAGAAATACTCGAATTTGAAGCATCGCGACAGTGACGAGAAGGACCAGATACATCTGCTTACTTACCACGAGTCTCACCTTACGTGCATCTCGGAAGAATCGGTGGATTACAGGCTTGGGAGAATAGATACAAATTATCCTATTTCCAGAGGTTGAGGCGCACCCATGTACCCTTCATATCGCGGAGCTGAGGTGGGCGTGTCTGCGTACTTCATGTGGAAGCGGAGCAAGCCACGCTTGTGGTAGGATATTCTCGCTATGGGACAATTGCATTCATGCCTTTGTCCAACACCAGCGTGGATGATAAATGTCTAAGATATGAATATTCTACGAAAAATGCATGTTACGCCATGTTCAGATGGGTCTACGGACAACTTGAGCTGATTCGGTCGTTTGGCGCGATCACATTGCCGTGTACGTGTTTTGGCAGGTAATGGTGGGGTCTACCAATGTGGGTAACTCGTCCGAATCGGCGATCTGTTAGGTTTTCGCAATTGATGGCCTAGATAAGGCTGTGAAAGTTGGCTCGGGTGCTAAGGGTTCCCAGCCAGGTTCCCAATGATTACTTATTATTAAGGAAGTGTCAATTAAAATATTGGACGAGTTGCCCTAGCCGGAAGACGGTTAGCCTTAACATGTTTCGGCACGTCAGTGACAGAATGATCGCGCCGAAGAATATATAATCCTCATCATTACGGACTGTCGGGGCGTGTCAGTGCGGCTGCGTTTGGCGCGGTACCGAAGTCGTTCTGCACCAATTGTTGAAGCGGGCAAGTGACATTACTGTATTATATCCTTCGTATTACTCGTTTTCTACCACTTTTTGTCGCATACGCGTTTCAACAAAAAGGCTGAGAACGGCTTCAACAGTGTGCGCACTCCTACTGGCTGACACGCCCCGACAGTCCGTAATGATGAGGACAGTACACCCTTGAGCTCTCGATCCTATCTTTTTCTCTGCACCCTCTCGTCCGCACTTTATGCCGTTGTCGTCTCCTCACTCCAGCTTATTCAGCCGAATAGACCTGCCGTTTTATACTTTGCGGCAGCGTAGCGTAGCGCTTCCAGCGTACGCCAGGCAGTGCCGAAGAGAGGATGCATATCGATCTAGCTTCACCAGCGGCACGCTAGCGCACGCTGGCGTAGCGAGGGCACGGGAAGCATAGCTATCGATCTAGCTTCACCAGCGTTTCTCGAGCGTTTCTCCAGCGGCACCAGCGTTTTGCTAGCGCTTGCAGCGGCAGGGAGTAGAGACTATGTGGCCGTGAGAGACGCGGAATCGACGTGTATTGTAGAGACCATGTGGCCGTCGGAGACGCAGAAGCGATGTGCATTGTAGAGACTATGTGGCCGTCGGAGACGCAGAAGCGATGTGCATTGTAGAGACTAAGGGCGAGTGAGAGACGCGCAATCGATGTGTTTTGTATGTGCCCTCGCAGTGCCTATCACGCCTAGCGTTACAGGCTAGCTTTCGCAACAGGACCCTGCCCAAAAAGTCGAACGATGTATGTCGGCCGCTCCAAATGAAGTATGGCAACCAATGCCCTTACGTCTGCAGGGCATGGAGTGTGTAGGGCGCACCTTCGCTTAAAAAGTCGCAAATGCCCCTCCCCCACTTGAAATTTGCGGATTTTTCGTTTGTTCTTATCCTACTGATGATCGTTTTCCAACAATAACACAACAGAAAGTCCATGTTCGACTTTCTTGCAATCTTGGCATGATGTATATAGTTCTTGTATTTCTTCTAGCCTTTCCAAGATTGAGCAACTTTTATTGAAGGCCTACGTTTCGGCGTCTTCGCCTTCGTCAGAGCCTGAAATGGTCAAAAAACATTTCGAGACCTGCTCGCTCAAACATTTCAACAATACTCAAGACGATTTCCACATACCAGTAAATCACCCAACGGTATCGATCTAGGGCGGAACGCTGGCTTACCTTGATCTTGGACGCAGGGACGACCACGCCCCCCTGTTAGAGGCTCAAGCGTGGAGTAAGAACTTACTGGTAACCTCCCTCGACCTCTCGGTAGGTCAAAACTTACAGAGGTCGAGAAAGGCTGCGAGCTCACGCGAGTATACACACGACTCTTCTTGCCATTACATTTGTGGTCCTTTGCCGGGTATCGATACCGTTGGGTGATTTACTGGTATGTGGAAATCGTCTTGAGTATTGTTGAAATGTTTGAGCGAGCAGGTCTCGAAATGTTTTTTGACCATTTCAGGCTCTGACGAAGGCGAAGACGCCGAAACGTAGGCCTTCAATAAAGTTGCTCAATCTTGGAAAGGCTAGAAGAAATACAAGAACTATATACATCACCAAGTTTGAAAACCAAATGAAAGCCTAAAACATGGAAAAAAAGACAGGGAATCAGTTGCTGTATCTGCCAACGTCCCACGCATGATGTCGCGTTACATGCGCTTTATACCATAAGAAATAGAGTGAATTCGTCCATAGCGAGCAACTGTAGCCAACTTCACCTGCCATGCTCGTGTGTGTCTGGTACCCTTGAATTTCTTTATTATCATGACTCATGAGTTGCTTCTTGGTTCTATGGTGCTGATACCACGAGGTGGTATGAAGAAAGCCTATATCTGCTGCTGTGGGCAGTGCTGCTTCAGCCAGGCGTTGAGAAGAAAGAGGAGTATCCGAAAATAAGGCAGCCGATCACTTTAACAATAGCCCTCTTCCTTCTTTTTTTATTCCTAGTGTTGTGCGCCGGACGGGCTGGATTAGGATAAACATCTAGTTCACGGAGCATTACACGATACGAGATCCAAGTGACGAATTGTCGAAATTGATTCTCTCCTCTCAAGGAATTGAGGTACTTTTCGCTAATTCTCCCAGTTCCTTCTGTCTCCACTCTCTTGCTCCGCGCTGGCTCTAAATAAGGCCTAATAGTGCGTTCCTTTGAGTCGACGTTTTGAGGGACTAAGAAAGTATAGGTGTCGATCTAAGCGCGGCGCAGCATTTTCAGTGAGCACCCGCAGAGGGGTATGTGACAAGAGGATCGTAATTTGCCGCGCTGCTGGGCGTCGCGTGCGACGTCCCGCCCGCAAAGGACGATGGTTTCAGGCAGTAGATGGCGACAACATGCAATTAAGGACCGAAAACAGTAATGAGTGTCTACGATGACGGGGTCTACATGAAGTCCGGTG